TGACTCCCAAATTCTTTGAAGGTTTGTGGACCTTGTTCTAGAAACATCTGCAAAGTTCTTGCATTTTTTTTATTGATCTATGAACTTCTCAAAATAGGCTTAAAATTTTAGGAATTTTTCCAATATTCCCAAAAAATCGGACGCTCGTGGGCTGCCCTGCATTTTTCAAAACTTTCCCGAAGCTGTCCTGTCTGTCTTGTCTGTCCTGTCTGTCCTGTCTGTCCTGTCTGTCCTGTCTGTCCTGTCTGTCCTGTCTGTCCTGTCTGTCCTGTCTGTCCTGTCTGTCCTGTCTGTCCTGTCTGTCCTGTCTGTCCTGTCTGTCCTGTCTGTCCTGTCTGTCCTGTCTGTCCTGTCTGTCCTGTCTGTCCTGTCTGTCCTGTCTGTCCTGTCTGTCCTGTCTGTCCTGTCTGTCCTGTCTGTCCTGTCTGTCCTGTCTGTCCTGTCTGTCCTGTCTGTCCTGTCTGTCCTGTCTGTCCTGTCTGTCCTGTCTGTCCTGTCTGTCCTGTCTGTCCTGTCTGTCCTGTCTGTCCTGTCTGTCCTGTCTGTCCTGTCTGTCCTGTCTGTCCTGTCTGTCCTGTCTGTCCTGTCTGTCCTGTCTGTCCTGTCTGTCCTGTCTGTCCTGTCTGTCCTGTCTGTCCTGTCTGTCCTGTCTGTCCTGTCTGTCCTGTCTGTCCTGTCTGTCCTGTCTGTCCTGTCTGTCCTGTCTGTCCTGTCTGTCCTGTCTGTCCTGTCTGTCCTGTCTGTCCTGTCTGTCCTGTCTGTCCTGTCTGTCCTGTCTGTCCTGTCTGTCCTGTCTGTCCTGTCTGTCCTGTCTGTCTGTCTGTCTGTCTGTCTGTCTGTCTGTCTGTCTGTCTGTCTGTCTGTCTGTCTGTCTGTCTGCAAGGCAAGGCCTGGCACACTCAGCTAGTATAAATATATATTAACAATATTTCTTATGATCAAAGTTAGTAGAATAGAGCTGATTACTCGTGGTTTACTCGAAGTAAAGGGCTAATTTTGGGCTAACAGGTTGGACGTGGACTTGGAACAAGGAACATGGGGATCAACTGTCGTTTTAATCTCCGTCGCCGTTGCATCGGTTAATGAACGTGGAGGAAGCACTGCAGTGGCAGGCAAGTGCTCTGAATCTCGAAAAGTGAATGGACGATTTATGGGACAACTAAAACGAAACACAAAAAATGGCCTATCTTGGGTGAACGGTGAGAACACTGACACATCAATTTAAAAAAAAAAAAACTACTAAATAATCAAAAATTTTTAGATCGATCCGTTTTAGAAAATTGTAAATCAATTTCCTATATTCGAGATCGCGGCTAGCCAGAACGTCTCTCTCTCTCTGAGCAGGTTTTTTTTCGGGGCCTAACGGATTCTCTGGCAACACAGTATAAAGTACAAGACCAAACAACATGCTCGATGTCGTGGTAACCGTCTCCACAGCCCAACCCGATAGAGATTTGAGTCTTACGAAAAGTGATTGGAATGAGCCTAGACATGACGCGAATAAAGTCACGGTCCATGCCCAACCCTTTAAACCATGGTTTGTTTGACATCTGTGGGATAATATTATGCAGCCATCTTCCAAAATCACATCATTCCAGTTTTGTTGCCAGTTGGTGAGGACTTGAGAATTGAGAAAAATTCATTAAAGGCGATTTGACACTCGAAAAAAATAATGGTTTGACACCTTAAAAAGTGTTCCCAGAAACATCGCAAAAATGGCCTCAAAACGCTAGAATGACACCCTTGAAGGTCCAAGCGCAATGACAGTGGGAGCGGAACGGCAGCGGCAGCGGAAAAGCCCGATCTGAATAAGCCTACTTGTCGGATTGAAAACTAGTTCGAAGCAATTCGACTTCGGTAAGGCATGTTGATGTCATTTGTGACAACTGTCAAACTTTCCGTTTTCGTTCCGCTTCCGCCCACATTGCTCTTGGGCCTTCAATCTTGAAAACACCGACGTCACGACACCACTTCACTCAGCCTATTATCACAGGCTTTAAAAGCACTAATATGGCACCAGACAACTTTTTTAATAATCTTGAACACAACTATTCTCATTGAACGTTAAAATTGTCCTAAACCCGGAAAAACATGAACCAAAAACGTCATAATAGCCCACAGTTTCCAAAACTTCTAAAAAAAATGCCAAAAATGGTGCGAAAATGTCTAACTGGTCCTGTAAAATGGCGTCAAAAATGGTTCTAAAATTTTCAAAAATAAGAAATATGGTCCAAAATTGTCGGAATTGCCGAGACTTAAAACCAGCCTGACGTCAAAACTGACTTTGAAACTCAAAAATGACCAGGAAACACCAAACATTAACAAAAAAGTTCAAAAAGTGGTCCAAAAAACCCCAAACATGGCCCAAAAACGTCAAAGAGATCGAAAAATATTATGCCAAAAACAGTCCAACAGTGTCAAATGGCCTGACCTAGACTCCAAACTGTCAAATTGGACAAAATTAGCGTCCTTAAGGGTCACAAAATCACATTTTACTAATAGAAGCATATTTTATATTAGAAAAAAAGTGCATCGTTCAACATTTTGGACTTAGGCACCTTACGCCACCTCTAAATGTCAACGAAAAAAGCTCAGTTTTTATATCTTACCTAAACTGTTCCAATAATCATTTACCACATGAGAAAACATGTCCCGAGCGAACATGAACGATTTTTGAAAATAAGCCCCACCCTACTATGGTATCCTATACCACTACAATCGGCTCAAGTCTCTCACTCGCGAGTGATGCATCTAACATAACCTCCAAAAATATATAAGCATTTTCAACTTAACTCAAAATTCAAAACTCCGCGATTGACCAGATCCAGCCAAATTTACACTAAGATCCAAATGAATTATGCTTGGGATTGGCAATCCATTGTCCGAGTGCATGTTACGATGCATCCCGTCCACGTCCGTACAGTCATCGGGGAAGGAAAGAATCGATAATATGACAAACGTAGCAACTAGAGACCGAAAAACCTCTACATGTCTACATCTATCATGGGAAAGAAATTTGTGTTTGTGGAAAAGGTAGCAGATCTAAAATCACCATGATAAATTATGTGACCGTTTGTTTGCACTTCGACTCTAACAAATCTATAAAAAGCCTGGGTTCAGTAAGCAAAAACGGTCCCCACTGAGTCACCGAGCTCCTTACTCCTTACTAAGAATTTATATTTGAGATTATGGACGTAGATAGAATTGAAGATCCTGGACTACCCTAATAAACAAATATCATAAACGAACTGTATCCCGAATGTGTAAACTATCCCACGTCGTTAAGCTCTCTTTTATGGTTATTTTTATTAGGGTAGGTCTGAAAGTTTTGGAGGTTGTTTTTGTGGCAAACATCTCTTTCATTGAAATATAAGCCTGGCTACGCTCTTGCCTGCAACGCCCCTGTAGTTACTCGTCCCGAGGTTTCCATATCACTGTCATTCGATCGAAAAAGTACCCAACAACACTCACCCTTAACCTGGCTTCGATCAAATTCACCTTCCTCTCCTGCTCCGAACAGTCGTTGTCAACTGTCAGCCATTCAGCCGAAGTTACGTAACAAATTCAGCAAGCATTTCCACGACTGCACCAAGCAACTTTCAGGTAAACCTACCTACCTACATTTCATACACCCCTACTTTTTTTCGCCCATACAACAAATCAGACATTGTTGCGTTCCTCCGGCTGTGGTGGACTTTTGCGTGGTTGCAGCAATCTCCTGGGAACGCTCTTCGCACCAGTCTTGTTCGATGTAGGAAAAACATTCATAAAGTTCCGCTGGCATTGGTCTCTCCGGTGCTGGTGGTTCTGGTGGTGGAAACGTATCATCCAATGGTAATGTTATTTTGTACCAGTTTATTATATTTTCGTTCTGCAGTTTTCCATATCTCTGGCGATGAAAGGAGAGCGCTCGCTATGGAAAGCACATTCAGTAGGGTGGTTCAAACTTTTTCAGCACTATGAAATTATATAGGAAAAGTGACGGTCATGATCAGCCTTCTATTGTGATTATTCGACTGATAAACAAATCAGTGATCATGCCAGCAGATCGTCAGTCAAAATCAGACAAAAACCGCTTTGCAATCGACTACATTGTGTAGTGCAAAATGGGAAAACTTGAACCACCCTAATTCTCAAAGCGTGGTAAAAGCGGGCGAGTTGGGTGGTACGACCGAGCGGGGTAGCAAAATATCAAAAACGAGTGGCACGGGAAAACTGTTTGCATACTCATACTCTTCCAGTCGTGTCAGATCGTGCCTACTGGGGGCGGTGGTGGGCAGACTTCTGCAGCGAGAGCCCATCCACGAAACGAGATTGACATGAAGGAGGTCTTAGCCAGCTCTCGGTAGGTACACGGTACGGTAGTACTTCACTCAGAACGAGAGGAAAGCTCACGTAAATAAAAAAGTAAGGGAACATGGAAGGGGGGGGGGGGATAGGTGACAGCAGGTTCAGCTTGAATTGAGCTGTTTTGACTACATGTATTTAGGTATACGACGAATGAACAAACGGTGAATGTGAGCTTTGCCGAGACGGAAGTATCTAGGTGGAGCTTGTTGAGACAATCGAGAAACAGTACGATGAAGCCCTCCTGTAGTACTGAAAGGCATCTTGTTTTGTAACTGTCATTTACAGAGAGTTTCGTGATTGACAGGCGTAAGTGTCGGAAGATACGAATGAAGAAGGGCAATTACATTGTGATATTGTTTGAGATTCTCCTCTGTGGAAATATTTATTTAGGACGATTGAATCTGAACTCACATTTGTTAAGCTGAAAGTCGTGTAAAAGCTACAATCGCTTTAAACTGTCGCTAAAAAATGCTAATCTGCTTCATAGTCATGTAGCTCAGCGTGATACATATCTGATTTGCAAAGCAACCAAATCGTACCCCCAACATTGTAGCAACTCCCCATGAGAGACTGAAACCTAATAATATTCCGCTAATTCATCGTTTCGTTGTTTTTCTGCTTCTCCCTTCCTATCTCTGTCGCCCCAACAGATTCGAGATACATAATTTACAATTCAAATCCGACAGCATAACGCGACGGCTGAGCATAGATGGACCACATCCGGGTAATTGGTTCGCCGTGGCATTCATCAGCTGGACCGATCCGAACAACGAGCGCATCGAACAGCAAGGTAAATATCTATCCATATATGTACATGTAGGAATCAATGTGTGGCACATGTTCGGCCGTGACGTGATACACGGTACAATTTGGATAAAACTGTCACATTAGAAGGCACTGTTTCACGTCGGATTCAGATTGGACACGAGCTACCGAAACGATTTGAATGATACCTACATCAATTGTGTTATTGTTTGCAAAATTTGCGAATAGATCCTTTTGCTGACCGTAGCGTATAAGAGAGATTGACTTCATTGATCATTGTCACATGCAACAGATTTGCATAAAATGTATGCATAATTGGTCATGTTTTATCGGTGTCTATAATTTTGTCGTCGGAAGGTTTTTTTTTAATAATCCTATATTTTTAAAAAAAAAGCTCAATTTTTGAACAAAGCTTGATTCCCCAAATGCACTGTGGCTAGAACATTATCTCATTAAAACATTGATTCTGGAACAATTACGCTACAATCCATTGTTAGAACTGCTATTCTTCTTCTTCTTCTTCTTCCTCGCATTTCAAGCTTATTGCATATCGCATATTAGCTTATTGCGTACTCTCAACTTAGTGTTCTAGATGCATTTCCAAAGTTATTAATTGAGAGCTTTCGATGCCTGTACCATTTTTGCATTGATATGATTGTGTGGCAAGTCCAATCATACTTCTATGCCCAGGGAAGTCGAGAAATTTTCCAACCCGAAAAATTCCTAGACCGAACCGGGAATCGAACCAAGCCACCTCCAGCATGGTCTTGCTTTGTAGCTGTGCCTTTACCGACTGAGCTGCTATTACATGTGCAATTAGAAAAAAATGCAGAAGATGCAAGCAATCCACTCTTATATTTGATGTTCAAGCCATTTTTTGTGGGTAGATGGGGACGAAAACTATTTAAAACCCATGTATGTGGAATACATTATAGACCTAATGAAAACCGTGTTTAAATCTTATAAACCTCCGCCCAGAAAGTCACTGAACTACTCCTTTTGTTTATAAGGAACTAGCTGAGTGTGCCCGGCCTTGCTCAGGATTCAATATTAGCTTGAGTGTATGCGCCGATTAAAAAAAGCATGCTATATTTTTCTGTTCCATTTTTATGAGAGCTCCCCCCTACAGAGGAGGCAGGGGTCTCGCACCATCATAAGAACCTTTCCCGGCCACAAAAACCCCTGCATACAAATTTTCACGCCGATTGGTTCAGCAGTTTCCGAGTCTAGAAGGGTCAGACAGACAGACAGAATTTCATTTATATATATCAGGGGAAACATGTCAGAAGGGTCTAACTCGAAACGTAAACAATGACTTGGATCGTCGGTTTCTTACGAATGACAACACACCCACTCAAACTAACTAAATCATCTGACAGAGCAATGTTTGTTCTATGAGCTGATGTAGTCAGATTCCGTGGGTGTGTGATCATTCAAGAGAAATCGACGTACAAAGTCATTGTTTACGTTTCGACCCTTCTGGCATGTTTCCCCTGATACATAGATTATTAATGACTGATCAAGGCTGTATTTCAATAATTTGGGAATTGTACCATCAAAACTTAAAATTGTCACTTCAAAAATAAATTAAAAGAATAGAAATTCCTTTTTCCTTTCATCTGGACACTACCGTAGATGGTACACGGAAAAACAAAACTACCGAACGGTTTTGTTCTTTAAGCTAACTATTGAATTGTGCCTTTTATTCACTCTCACGTTTGTTGTCAAAAATGGAAGAGCAAACACACAAAATAGGGGTCTTCAGATCCGACAATTTCCCCAGTGACTCCGGATATCCAGAGGACCGTTTTATGGCAACTCGGTAGTAGAATCGATATGGTGATGGCATATTTCAGCTTTGCTTATCAACTCTAAATTGTATTGAATTTAGAAAAAAAAACGTGGGTCTCTAGGGGTACTTTCAGGAATTGACCATTTGACCCAGTGGTTCCGGATATCCAGAGGACCGTTGGGACCTCCCTTAGCTCAGTCGGTAAAGGCGCAGCTACAAAGCAAGATACCGTGGGAGGTGGCTGGGTTCGATTCCCGGTCCGGTCTAGGAATTTTTCGTGTTGGAAAATTTCTCGACTTTCCTGGACTAATGCAAAAATGATACAGGCATCGAAAGCTCTCAATTAATAACTGTGAAAGTGCATCTAGAACACTAAGTTGAGAGCACGTAATAAGTTAATATCGAGGACAGCAAATCAAAAAGACTGGCAACACTTCCATTTTCTCATACAAACGCTATAAGACAGGTACAATCGCGTCATCTGCCGCTTAAAGGTAAATGCTTCGAACGAACTTGATAGCAAAGATTACATCCTCAGAAGAAGGGTTTGTGTGTTTGCTCATTTTTCTATGCGTTGCTTCCACCTTCACTCAAGCGCAGCGCTACTGTATCTGCCGCTTGGATTCTGGCAAAGTTGCCAGTCTTCTTGATTTGTTGTCTTTGCTAATTTGCTATAGGCAATAAGCTTGAAATTCGAAGTAGAAGAAGAAGAGGAGGAAGAAGAAGAAGAATAAGAAGAAGAAGAAGAAGAAGAAATATGGTGATGGAATATTTCGACAGTGAGCATGTATAAGGGTAAATACGCGATGATCGATTCTCTTTGTCGATTTTCTCTTTTGTTAATAACTCGCTAGATTTAACGTTTCTCGGTGCGCTTACTGTTGCTTTTTGATAGCCAATATAACCCGTTACAATTCTGCATTGAACAAATTATAGAAAATGGTTTCGTTTAGCAGTAGCAATCAGTGCTGTAAATTCTCAAAATCAATTGAACATTGTTGATGAAAATGAGAAAAGCAGCTGTTCGCTATCAAAGGGGACCTCCTTCGAATGGGTGATATCAGTTGCTTAGTCATTTGACGAAGGCATGGATCATTCTCATTTGAGAAATGCTTGATATCATTCCATTGAGTGTAACCTATACATAAACGGAACTCTGGTTGACATTCCGTCGAAAAAGCTAAGTCAACCCGACACCAACCTGACTTCTACTAAACCCCAACCCGATGTTGACCCGGCATAAACACTAAATTGACCCGACAACAAAACGACATTGGGTGCCAGAAACACCAATGTTGCCTGCTGAGCAGTTGATAGAGCATAATTATAAGACATCAGTGACTTGAATCGTTAATAACTTTTGTTCCTTACATTTTATGGAAAAGTGATCTTCAACTAAGTTGTTGCTGGCCCCGTAACGTGGGTAGATCACCTTTTCGTGGTACGTTACGGGATGTAAGATGGTTGAAGTGTAAGCAGTTGAAATTAAATACAAGTAAAACTAAATTCATGGTAATTTCGCGGAACCGAGTAAATGATAATGTCTCCGTGGTAATTGATGATGAGGCTATTGATCGCGTTCGGGAGATTAAATATCTTGGCGTGATTATTGATGACAAACTTAAGTTCAACTCTCACATTGACAATGTCATCAAGAAAATTGCCAAGAAGTATGGAATTCTATGTCGACTGAAAAACGATTTAACTATTGCCAGTAAAATACAGCTATACAAATCAATCATCTCTCCTCATCTAGACTTTTGCCCATCCATTTTATTTCTAGCCAATGAAACACAAATATCGAGATTACAGCGTTTGCAGAATAAAATAATGCGTTTGATTTTGCGATGTAATAGATTCACTTCCTCAACTTTGATGCTGGACGCTTTAAAATGGCTGTCAGTGAAGCAAAGAATAGTTTATTTGACTATGGTGTTCATTTTTAAAGTAGTAAATGGTTTGCTGCCTCGATATTTGTGTGATCGAATTGAAAGAGGAAGTGATTTTCATAGATATAATACTAGAAACGCGGATGAAATAAGAACACCACATTTCTTGACTTGCGCTTCACAGAATTCATTGTATTTTAAAGGAGTAAATGTTTTCAATTCGATGCCTAGACATATTAAACGTGCAACAACATTAGCAGAATTCAAGAGACATTGTATTTCACACGTTAAAACTGTCTTTTGAACAGTTATCCAGTGATTTTTTTTTTTTTTTTTATGAATGGACGAAGTATGTATCTTGACGAAGTTATTTATAACGGATTATTTTGTATGGATAGCTGTCATAACGACTTTTTAATAATTATTGTAGCACTGCAAAAACTATTTTGTTCGCCACGATGGTGCACAGCAAAAAAATAATTTTGATATCACGTCAAAGTGGATGCACTACAATCATGTCGAAAATATGGTGTAATATTACTTGCTTAAAAGGACAACATTATCATTAATACAATGCATGAACTGACATTACGCTGCTTTTACTGCATTTGTTTATTTATGTGGTCATACAAATTACATGAAATTTTCGACATGATTGTAGTGCATCCACTTTGATGTGATATCAAAATAATTTTTTTGCTGTGTGATGATGGATTTTTTTAATATTTGAATTAAAGTAGTAGTTAAAAAAAAAAAAAAGTAGTAGTCTACAAAGGTTTGAGCCTCGCGCGCGTATTACGGATATAGAGGACTGAATTTAACATTTGATAAAAAAAATGCAACTTTGAAGCTTATTTGGAAGATACTTTGAGTTAGTATTAAGTTTTCTGGCTGAATGTCGGGGGTTCGTGAGCATTCCTGACATTGCTGAAAATTATAATAGCATCATTGCGGGGTTGCTAGTGTATAGGATGTTTTGTTGATTGTTCATTAACTCTTGATTGCTTGTAATACTTATGAATATTCTAGGTGGACAAAAAGGCGAACTAAGAGGTGGACGCCTAAGCTTTTTCACATTTATGTATATTGCTGTGAAGCAACTGTAAAGTCTAGAGGGAATTTATATCTGTAACTGTAACCAGCTCGTTTTTGTTTGCTAACCTGGTTAAAATGTTTATATTTAATTATCTTGAAGATAAATCGTCCAGCTCAAACCTTTGTAGGGGTAAGAGGTGGGACCATCATCATCATCTCGGTCATCTACCACCGATTCCTAGTCTTGACTACTTCAAACTAGGGGAACAGGATTTTACAGTAATCAAAGGAACACATCTTAGTCCTTGT